CTGTTCCTAAAAGAAATATTACTATTGTTTTGCTAAATATACATAGAAAACCGTCTTCTGAATATATATCATCATAGACCAGGGCTGTTGTCAGGCCCAAACAGAGAAGATGCTTTTTGCAGTGGGCATCAGTCAATGCAAACAATCTTAATTAGTCAAAGTGCTGGGAATGATGACTGTTGTGTGCATATTATCAAAAAAGGACGCCTGTGTCACTCCAGGGCACATCACAGAGGAGAGGGTGGAAAACAGGAGAGCTGGAGAATGGGAAGGAGGGTAGAGAAATGCTCTATTCTGAACTTGACATGGCTGTCATACTTAGAACTCACTGCAAATAGGGTAACCTGAATAAATCCTGAATAGCATTGAGTCAGTCAACATTCCAACATGGATAAGGGTGGAGAAGAGGAGGCCTCAACCATAATTGAAGAGCTATCGACAGTTAATGGTTACAGCGGTGTAAGCATGTAAGCTCTAGTAAGTTGCTCATGCCTCAGTCAATAATCCTATATGGATGCTTACACATGCGGCCCTGATTATGTTCAATGGATAAAAATAAGAAATGAAAGTTAGAATGTGTGTGGTTATGAAGAAGAGGGTCACTAGGAATGGGAAAGAGTAGGTAATAATTAGAATAATGTGACCTTAATCTGTTGTGTATATGTATTCATCTACAAATAAAACCTTACAATTAAAAAAGAACATGGAATATTGAAAAGAGTATATAATATATATATATATATAATATACATATATAATATACATATATATATCAGCAATCATGTCAATAACACCCAACTGAATATTTCAGTGGACAAACAATGTGGTTTCTTCACTACAAAAACTCATCCTCCATAAGTGGATGACATTTTTGTGAAAAGCTTTATGATCAGGTTATCCAAACTGAGAGTGGCAAAGCATTAAAAAATGTGCTTTTTAAGTAAAAATAAAACGGAAAGTTAGTGGTCTGAAGACATCTAAGATCTTTGTCCCCATGAGAACAACAGGTATAAAGACAATGGTGTAAAAGAAGACTCATTTCAGAGATAAATGCATGCATTTAATTACATCATATAGTTTAAAATGCAAGGATAAAATGTACTGAAGTCTCATAAAGAGAATGATGTAGGATGGGAGTGATTGTTTTGGGTAGACTGTGCTTCCTTGAAGGTTTTCAACAACTGTGAAAAATAGAAGCGTAAGAGCAAATTCTATTAACATTTCAAAGAAGCCATAGTGCTTATCAATTCCTCACTTTAGAGGAAGGAAAATTCCCAAGGTCGTGCTCTTCTGTGTTCAGCTTCCGAATTTAAAGGCTGAGTCTTGTCCCTGTCTTTTGTGCCTTGCTATGTTTTTTTTTTCAAGTAAGTCTTCTTTAAGGATATTTCCATTTCACTTTATGAAATATATAGTTCTATAATTATCTTTCATCATGAAAGAGGAAGTTAATAATTCAGTTCTCATGCTGCATCAGGCTGCACTTCAAAGTTTGTTCAGAAAACGTAGAAGACTGGGGGAAGTTAATGAGACTTTCGTGTCTCCAAACCCTGCTCTTGAGGACTTGCTTCAGGACATGTCAGGGCATCATGCTCTGCAATGACAAGAGTCTGTAAAGGAGCCTGGCCTCCAGATGTGCAGGGCGGTCACATGAAGGAGACTCCAGAGTCACTGGGAGGAGACTAAAATTAGTCAAAATTCTATGAGGCTCTCTAAGTACACTGACTGACCAGATCCATACAGCAATCATAGAAATATGTGTTATTGTTATTCCTCTATTATTTGTGAAATTGCTAATGTACATGAGGGTTATGTTATTGGGTCCAGTAAGGGATGAAGCAACCGTTCATGCTCACTGATGATGTGGAGTCCCCTCTGTGTGCTGTGATTGCCATTAACGAATAAAGAAACTGGTTTGGACATATATATAGCAGGGCAGAACTTAGGTAGTCAGGGAAAGCTAGGTGGAATGCTGGGAGAAAGAAGAACAGAGTCAGAGAGAAGCCATGGAGCTGCCGGAGACAGGCACTGGGAATTTTACTCGATAAGCCACAGCCACGTGGCAATACACATATTAATGGAGATGGGTTAAATTAATATGTTAGAGTTAGCCAAGAAGAAGCTAGAGCTAGTGGGCCTAGCAGTGATTTAATTAATACAGTTTCTGTGTGATTATTTCGGGGCTAAGCAGCTGGGAACCAACAAGCCAACTCCTACTACACACTGAGTCTGGCTCTGTAAAATCCATGCCCAAAGCACACTATTCCACTTGAAGTTGACAGACAAGCTCCTAGAGTAAAACACAGAACTGGTTGATTATTCAGAGAAGGTTGCAGTGAGCAGCCCATTACAGCTAAATGAGAGAGTTGAAGGTGTTCACATATGCTAAAGCATTTGAATAATCTTTCCAGCTGTGTCTCTAGACACCAATCATATGTATATATGTGTGTGTGTGTGTGTGTGTGTGTGTGTATACATATTAAATTTCATCTATAAAGTGAAGAAAGAATTCTAGTGTGCTGTTTTTTTTTTCTCATTGTCCTGCCTGTAAGATCCAATTCAACCCAATCCAGGAATCCAGAAAATTCTTCATAAAAAGTATGATAGTGGACATTCATGCTAATGGAATTTTCAATAAAAGATGTACAGACAGGAAATCATCACATTAATTTATAGAATGCAGCATACTAGGTTCTGGATAAAAACAAGCTAATGGCACATGAGTCTGTATATTGACCAACTACCTTGACACATGGATTGTTAATCCAACTGCCCTAGTGCTATATTCTTTGAAGACTGATGATCTTTGATGTGGTTCATAGATGTCATATCTGAATTGAACTGGTGCTTGCCTTTCTTCGTTGGAGGTTTGATAGGGCTTTTCTGATACTACGAAAGCCGGTGGTCAGGGAAGGTGCATGTAGGTTAGGTCTAGTTGTTTTGGGTAAATTCTATATTGCTCTTTTTAGATAGACATGCAGGAACATGCTTTGTTCTCTTACAAAAGCAGTACGGGAACCCTTAAATTTTATATAAAGGGAAAGCATCTGTTTTCATAAAATAATTAACAATATTCTAGTGATCACTTCATCTTTATCCTATATCCTAGGGTTCTAGTTTGCTATATACATTATAAATTGAATGTAACTTAATATTCTTTATCCATGTCTCTCAACCCTCTTGAGCTTCCATTTTTCCCAAATTAAAAATTTTTAGCTACTTTTGTTATTTTTTTATTTGTTTTCAGACAGTAACAGGACCCTCAACCTCTTCTGTGCATCTCGCCCTATCAGTCAATGTTTCTGCATCATCCTCTTGTACAGTCAATTCTAGCTTCTTCTATGGCCAATATTGTTTTATTTTCCTAATTCTTGGATAACCAAGGCCCAATCATGTATATATTTTTGCATTTCTTTCTATATTGTCTCATAGAATATAAACACAATACAGCCACTACTTATTTGTATTGGTGTTTATTCAGAAATCAGTTTAGTAATACATTCTGATAAAATTTACAATCATGAAGAGCTCTAAAGAAAGCTGTAAAGACATCTCAGAGGTTCAACATAATTGCTGTTATTCCAGAGGAACTGAGTTTGGTTTTAGCACCCAGATTCAGCATCTCACAACTGCTTGTTCAACTAGCTTCAGAGGATCTAATGTCCTCTTCTGACTTCCCATTGATGCTCCAAAGATGTGGTGTTCACTCAAATAAACACATAAACATACACATGAATAAAAATAATCTTTAAAAAATCAGAAAAAGGCAGCTTTACTGTATTAGTAAGGCCTATAAGGTAAACAAATGGAATATAGGATAACAGATGGAATGAATGTGCTTCAATGGTTTAGACTTGGAGAGAGGGGAGTTGGGGGTCATTGTGAGCAGTGAAGAGAGGAGAAACTGTGTTCTCGATATATTATGTGAGAAAAATCTACTTTAAGTATTAGAAAAGGAAAAAAATAAAACAGAAATAAATTCAGATAAAGACAAAATTTAAGGTAATTATGTTATCTAAAGCCAACCTAGAACATTTCCAGAGTGTGAATAATACACCAATTTATTTAAGTGTATTAAATTGCAAAAGAGAAAAACACTTTTTTCATGATTTGACACAATATCAAGAATTTCAAAAAACAATGTCTAGATTCTGAAGACTAACTTTTACTTTCATCAATTGTGCTTTTAAATTATTAATGGAAAAAGAGATGGAGAGCAACCTGTTGTGGGATAGGTATTTGACTGCACTGTGACCCCTGAGATACTGTTGATAAAGTTGATCTTAATCTTAATCAGGGGGTGGAGCCAATGACTGGATGACCGGAATTAACCATAAGGAAGGCAGGAATACAGAAGAGAGAAGGCACACAGGAAAGAGTAGGGAGCAACATAGAGATTTCAAACATAGGACATCGTGTTGCAGACACACAGGGAGAACACAGGTGAGGTCCTCATTACTATGCTCTGTGTCTGTGTGCAGGACTCAGAAAAAGTTATGCTGCATACTAAAATTTGTTCAGTAGATCTTCAGGTACTCTTTCAACAATTTAAATTTTGATGACTCTAAAAGTTCCACTCTTTTGTGTTTCATTAATTTATCAGTCTATTTTCTTAAGAAAAATAGATTAATTTCATATAAAAACCATTTCAAAAGATTTTGCAAATAATGTTTTTTTTGCATTGTTGTATACACTCACAAAACCCAAAGTTTTTCCTTGGATATTAGGAAAACAAATGGGCAAAGGAAGCAAGATGGAGTGTAAGTCATATTTGATGAGATCATAAATATCACAACCTGCAGACTGAATTACAAGTTTGCCATCAATCTCTTTCTCTATCTAGTATCTACCAGGGGTCAATGATGGCAGGGGAATCTAAATCACAGACTTTACCCAGAAGAATGGACAAATAAATGTAAACTACTCTTGAAGCTTTTAAAATGAAACAACCTGTTTCTTGTACTGGTAAAAAAACAAATTTGGAATTTTTTTTATTATTACAGGTATGGATAAACCCACCAGTCCCCCTTATGGAGACAAAGACAGAACCACACTCCTGACTTATTTGGATGACACAATGCTCACACTCGAAAGTCTCTGCAGTTCTACAGCTCATAATCAGTAATTTCTTACAGCTGTAAGTTGAGATCTAGGATTGATTTTAGAGTGTTGATTTATGGGCTTAAAACGCACAATAAATCAATTAAGGTTTGTTTGATAGGACAATTAAAAATACAATGGTATCACTAAATAATGGTTTAAATATTTTAAATTGCCTTTAAATGCTTTTGTTCTGTGTACAGAAGAAATTCTCACCTTAAATTAATAAAGGAAATGGCTTATCATGGGGCCAAATATGAGTGACCATGTTGGGGGATACAGATTAAGGTTAGAAACAGTTCCAAGACGTGTCTTAGAAACATTACAAAGAAAAGTGTAAATTAAGACATTTTCCATACATTGGGGAAGACATCTAATATCCAGGTCATGAGAAATTCTGGAAAATTCTGCCAGAGGCCTCGGATGTTACCTGAGACAATTCTCAGCCTTTTGGGCAGTAGAAACTGGATGTGTGCTTTTACACTGCAAGGGTTCACATAAACATCACAAAGATGTCTGATCACATACAGAGGAAGAAATACACAGCTCTTAAAAGAGTTAAACATGCCCCAAGATGATTTCACTCTGGACTTGAAACATTGTGTCCTTTCCCCACCAAAGATCAGGCATTTAGTCTCAGTCTCTCTCCACGAATTCAAAAGTTAATTCAACACAATCAGGAAAAAAAGGGCAAACTTACCACTGGGCATCATGTATATTTGTGTGATAATAAGCAACATGCATCATGGTGTAACATGATGGGAGCCTGCTTGTTTGGGGGTTTCTTTCCCACCCTGCCCCCTAGCTGTTTAGTCCCAGAGAAAAATCACACTGAGATTTCTATAAGTTATAAAGCTGATTGGCCCATTAGGTCAGGCTACTTATTAGCTAACTCTTACATCTTGATTAACCCATTTATCTGATCTATGTTAATCATGTGGCTCAGTACCTTTTTCAGTTGGGCAGCTTGCATCCCGCTACTTCGGTGTTCTGGGCAGGAGTGGGAGGAATCAACTTCCTCCTCCCCAGAATTCTCCTGCTCTCCTTGCATCATTTCCACTTCCTGTCTGGCTTTCCTGCCTACACCTCCTGCCTGGCCAATCAACGTTTATTTAAAACATGATTGACAGAATACAGACAATTCTCCCGCATCATGGGAGAAAATTTGTGCAGCTGACAAGTAACTTTGTTGGTGGAGACTGCTCATTCATTTAAAAATAGAATAAGTATTCTAACTATAGTTCTTGCTTGATAATTGTTTTGTTGTATGTAATCTCTCTATGTTTTTTTTCCTATTAAACCAGAAACAAACTTTATTCCAGGGAAAAGAATAAAAAAAATAAATCTCTATGGGGCACAAAAAGCTTATCAGCTACCTGAGACCACAGACCACAACCAGAGGTGGACTTGTATAGCTGTGGCAATGGGCAGTTTCTGAACTCCCCTTTTTATAGCAAGAAGCAAGCACTAGTTATGAATAAAAGAATTTTTACAATCTCAAGGTAAAACTCAGATACAAAGTGCTCTTTTTTTACCATTTACATTCACAGAGTTTTTTTAGTTACACTAGTGTTTGATTTTAAGCCATTGCACTTCCCTGGAGTTCCCTGGTAGTGTTTACCAAAGCTTCCCACTCCCCTGATATTGCCAGTCTTGCATAGCAGGGAAGGGTATGGGAACATGCACGATGAAAAAGTCAGGTGCATCTCATCATTTAAAAGTTAACCCCGCTCACATCAATTGCTGGTCATGAGTGGCCAGGAGGTTATCTAAAAACTGACTCTCAGTTGCAGAGGGCCACTTCAGCCTTGCAGACAGCTATGGGTTGTAAAGCAAAGAAACCTACTGTAAATAGTTAATCCTTAGCCAGGTGGTAGTGGAGCACACCTTTAATCCCAGCACTTGGGAGGCAGAGGCAGGTGGATCTCTATGAGTTCGAGGCCAGCTTGGTCTACAAGAGCTAGTTCCAGGACAGGCTCCAAAGCCACAGAGGAACCCTGTCTCGAAAAAGCAAACCAAACAAAAAACAAAACACAAACAAAAAAGTTAATCTTTAATCTGCTGAATGGGCTGCTGACAGCCTGCTCTCATTCTCCTAGGCTTACAACTTTATTTCTATATTCTTATTCTTGGATTCTTCAGAATGTCTTGTTTTCTCCAGCTATGGTGATTGAAAGCTTTGTTCAGTATAGTAGTCTGGGCTTGCATCTGTGATCTATTAGTGTCTGACCAGGACTTTCTGACTTTCAGTTTTCATTGAGAAGTCAGGTGTAATTCTGATGGCTCTGTCTTTATATGTTACTTGGTCTTTTTCCTTTGAAGTTCTTAATATACTTTACTTATTCTGTATGTTTAGTGTTTTGATTATTATATGGTGAGGGGGACAGTCTAATTGGTATTCTGTAAACTTCTTGTACATCTGTAGGCGTATCCTTCTTTCGGTTGGGAAAGTTTTCTGGTATGATTTTGCTGAATATATTTTCTGTGCCTTGGAACTGTTAAATCTAAAACCTTTCTTTTTATTTAGACAGAAAGGGGAGGTGATGTGGTATTTCAGCTGTATGCTGTGAATAACAATGGTTAATAAAGAAGCTGTTTTGGGCCTATTGCCATGCAGAAAAGGGTAAGGTAGGATTTCCAAGCAGATAGAGAAAGAGAGAGTAGGCAGTGTGAAAGAGATGCCATGTAGCTACCAGAGGAGACAGACATGAGCCTCCAGCCTGAAACTGGCTGATAAACCATGAGCCTCATGATAAAATATAAACTATAGAAATGGGTTAATTTAAGATGTAAGAGTTAGCTGGAAATATGACCATGGGAAATCTTATAAAGGAAAACATTTAATTGGGGCTGGCTTACAGTTTCAGAAGTTTAGTCTATTATCATCGTGACAGGAATCAAGGTAGCAGGCAGGCAGAAATGGTGCTAGAGAAGGAGCTGAGAGTTCTACTTCTTGATCTGCAGGCAGTAAAAGGAAAAAAAACTGTATACTGAGAATTGCTTGGGCATATATGTGACTCCAAACCTGCCCCCACAGTGACACACTTCCTCTAACAAGGCCACACCCACTCCAGCAAGGCCACACCTCCTAATTTTACCACTTCCTGTGTGTCAAGCATTCAAATTCTTGAGTCTATGGGGCCATTCCTGTTCAAATCTTCACACAATCTAAATTTGTTTTTGAAAGTAAGTTCCATATGTCTCACAGGGCTAAGCTGAGGGTAATAACAGCAAAAAGCACCAGATATGCTCTGGGTAGGATTCATTTATTTGTCTTGTCCAACTTCTAGAGGCCATGTGTGTCATTCCTTCAGCTTTAAATATAGCTATAGCATGTTGGGTCTTTATCACATGTGTCACTTGGCCCCACTGCTGAGAAGGCCCTGTCTTGATAAACTCTCATTCCATATTACTTCATAGCATAAAGTCCCTTCTATCACACATACTGATACATTAGAAACTTCCAGTGACGAGAGCGTGTACATGAGTCAAATTCTCTTTAGTCAGGACAGTTGGCTGTTCTGGTGTCTGTAAGTTGGTAAGTTAGGCGTAATCTTCCAGATAAAGAGGTTTTGGAAAGTAAAGAGCAGTTTGTGCTACATTCGCCATAACCAGTGGTGTGTCACTGGATAGGTCAGAAAGCAGTCTCTAGGAAAGCCCAGTTAAGTGGGAGAGATCATCCTTTTAAGTACTTCTGACTTTAGTTATTAAAATAATACTTTTCGGTGAGTTTTGTGTGTTCATTGGTTTATATTGAGAAATAAAATATTGTTCACTGAAGATAAACCATACAGTGATTTGATATAATTACACATTTTGAATTGATGACCAAGATACATATACCAGGTATATCTACAACTTTGAAATGAAAGTCACAAATCCAGTGCCAGTCTAGCAGTTATTTGTCTACTCATGATGCTGGCCTAACCTACGGAATTGGGTGAGTCTTCATTCATCTGCAGAAGGAATGAGACTACTTGGTCCTTACTGTTGCTCATTTGAAAGCTTAGAAAGCATGGACTATGGCTGCTTGTGTTATTTTGAGTAATCTCAAAAATCTGCCAATATACTTGGAACTTGTTAGTCGAGAGGGATAATTTATTACATTAACTATTGTCTTATTTCTAATCTCTTAAATATCTTTCTCTGTTTTATATATCCAATTATTCTTCTACATAACTATCTAAGAGGTTAAAGTACATTTTAGCTTCATTATTCTGTACATTAGAATATTCAAGGCTCAAGTAATATTGTCATTAATAATATGATTCAGTTAATGGTGGTATAACTATAGATGACTAAAACATTTAACCTATCTCATTGAACAACCATGATCATTTTTCTCATTTTTATTAAGATAAAATTATAAATATATTTCATATTTAAAATAACTATAGTTAAAACATCTTTAGGTTTTAACTCATGCTTATTAAGAAAAATAATGCCTTTGCTTTAATCTTCTGGTAAATGTACTTTTTGAATGTAATTTGGGGAATAAGGGAGAATTTTTGAGAATTATAACACTGCACATTATTAAGTCAGTGATATAGGGAACAAAGGCTCACACTTTAATGTCGTGCCCATCCTAATGGTGTCTAGCTCAGCCTTCTCTCTCTGCCTCTATAAAATTAGCTATTGAGTCCTTTAGCAGGCAGAATGACTTTTCCCTAAATTTCTAATCTCACTTTAATTCAGACAGATTTATTCTGCAATCTTTATCTTCACAATGCTCAATTTGGAAGGCTTGTAGTAGGACATAAAAGAAAAAAATGGAAAAGTGAAAGTCACTTAGCATGGAATCAGAGACATCATTGGTTCATGACACTGCTGGCCTCCTCTGGAATGTAGGAATTGGAGTAGGTGTGAGAAGCTAAGCAGTGGTCAACCATTCCTCAATAGTTCCACTTTGAGTCAATGTGTCTTTAACTAAAGACATTTTAGACTCTTCTTGCCAAGGACAGTGACTCTTCCCAGCTCCTTGTGCAGAACCTTGTGCAAATTAGCAATTCAATTAAAATTCATTCAGTGACTGTGGAT